AACTATTATAAAGCAAATAAAATTTGATCTTTATTTAGTCACAACTTTTTATATTCACCAAAATTTTGTTTCCCAACCTGGTGATTATAACAAGGTTGGACTGTATATAAATTTTTAATGTTGATTTTATTTATCATAATTCTTCTTATATTTCTTCATATATTCATGTTGCATATTGCTTTACGATTTCTCTGGATTTAAATTGTTTTAAAATTTATGCCGATTGAAATATGATATATATCAATCTTTACTGAGCTCAAATTTAACTATATGATAATTTTTTTTAATTATACAAAAAAAAAAAAAAAGTTTATTTACTTGCTCAATTTAATCATACTATACGTAATAAATAATTTAGTCTTTAAACAAGAGGTTTTAATAATTTTAATTATTTCTTTATTTTTTTTTACTTGCTCAAATTTAATCATACAATACAATACATAATAAATTTTTTTTAAAAAAAATTTGGCTTTAAATAAGAGATATCAATAATTTTTATTATCCAGCACCCTACTATGATCGGGCTCACCAAATAATCTGGGTTATTTGGCAGTTACTTTTATTAAATCTAGTTAATTACGTAATTTACTGTTTATTTTATTTATTGAAAACAAATGTTAAACTGCTGTATTAGGCCTGAAAGCTTTTAAAATTATGAAGTTACTCAATTTAATTCAATAATAAAATCAAATTTACATCAATTTGAATACATATTTTTAATTGATAGTAATATTTTCGGCTATGATATAGTAATTTTTGATGATCGTAGTTTTACCAGTCATTTCTTGCTCTTCAGAATTATCCATCTTGGAAGTTTTATGAAGAACTCATCAACCACCAAGTGTAGGATTTTTTTTAGATGCATTTAGTGCAATGGTAAGTTTATTTTGGATGAATCTTGAAAAGGATTACAAAATTGTCTAAAAATAGAAAACTTGGGCGATAAGACTATTGATGATGTAGAGTAGACAGGACAACTCGAACTTCATTTTATTTTAGATTTTTAAAAAATGATCAAACAATAAATAAATAAATAAATAACCAATAAATAACAATAATAATAAAAAATAAATAAGTATATATCTTTAATATATATGAAGATCTTAATTTGCTTAAAACTTATGCATTATTTGAGACTTCTGATTCATTTGAGGCTTCTGATTCATTTGCTTTTGACTCATTTGAGGCTTCTAATTCATTCTCATTTGAAGCTTCCAATTCATTCGAGGCTTCCAATTCATTAAGACTTCTAAATTGTTTGAAGTTTTCAAATTATTTGAATTGCTTGAAGGTGAAACTTTTCAACATTGTTAATTAACAGTAAAAGCGTATCTTCTTTTTGTTTATCATATAGACTGGCATAAATATAATATGATAATTCGCATTTATGCCTAGTTAATGCCATAGTTGTAACTATGAGAACTCTCTTCTAAAATAAGAATGTAATTGGCATAGATCTGCCAGAATGGTTGATGATGTCACAATCCTTTACATTAATTTCAACAATAATACAAATACTTCTTAGAAGTGTTTAACACACCTTTTCACCCAATTGTGTATTGTGATACCACTGGTCTGTTTAGAGGTTTAAATAAAATTAATTAATAAAAAAAATAAAATAAACAAAAAAAAAACAATAATATAATATGTAATACCTTTTGTCTCTTTATTAATTTGTAAGTAGAGTGATATACAATTAAAAGTAGTTGATCTTTTAGAAAAATAAAGCTTGAAATCATAAACAGGTTCTTGACTACCTTCAGAATCTGGAGGCACAGGAATAATATGAGTGTCAGAATTACCATCAATTCCACCTTAGTTATTCTTTTGGTGATTTTTTGCAAAATAAATACCACCATTGGATGTAAAAGTAAATTGCGACATAGATATTTTATAGTATTTACCACCACAAGATTGAAATAAAAGACAACACTATATAAAAATTCTATAAAGTAACCCTTGAAGCATGTTATTAAAAACTGCATTATGTTGAAAAATTGTTTTTAACTCATCATCTGTTAGATGGTCATAGTGTTATGACACAATACCATTTTTTTTTAGCCATTTCAATTTTTTATTTAATGCAGCCCATAATTCAGCAAATCCTTTCCTATTGCCTATATTATATTTTGCTATTGCATTAGGGTGCTTTAAAATGTAAACACTTAAAAGTCTGATGCAGTTTGTTAATGAAAAGGTAAATAATCCTTTTGATCATAGATTTTATGGATACTGAGAATAAATTTAGTCATTTTATATTCAAGTTGGTCTTTATTCTTAATAGATTCGATACTATAGTTATATCTGACTTCTAAACACCAAGCTTCTAAGATCCCAATCTACTTAGCAGTTACTTTGTAGGTATTTTCAAGAATCACACTATTAATTATTTCATTTATTTCTTCAATTGTGGGTTTATGATAAGTATTTTTTTTATTTGTAACTTTTGGCATTTTATTTTTTTTTATACAACTTAAAGCGTGATTTTGTAGAAAAAAAGAGAAAAGCAAAAGAGTAAAAATAAGCACAAATTTTATTTATATAAAATCCAAATTACGTCAATATTTTTTTTCTATTAAGGTATCAGTTACTTTATTGTTGTTAAAAAGTAGTACATAATTTAATTTAAAGTTTAATTAATTATCATTTATTAAATTTAATTTCTGATCACTGTAGGATGCCAGATAATATCGTTATTAAATGCTCCACACCAATAACTGATGTATTTTGTGTGAAATTTAACTAGTCGATGGCTAGGCCCCTGTCGGGCCCAGCCATCTCCTGATCAAATTCCACACAAAATACTTCCTATTATTTGTTATGTGTAACAATAAAATCATAATTACACAGATCATGATGCAATTGTTATATCATGCCAAATAACTATATATTATTTATTTATTTATTTTTTGCATCAATATGGCTTCTAATTATTCAATGGCTTTTTATTTTTATCACTTGAAATGTTTGAAAAAATTGTTACCAATTATATGAATAATCGAAAGAATAAAAGATATATAATGAATTGTTTAAAATACAATTGTTGTATAACACTTTTGCAAAATCTTAAAAGTAATTATAAGAATGCGAACTTTAAATATAAGGCTCTTAATAAGTTTAGATTAATTAAAGTTAGAGCCATTAAAGAACTTAATATTAAATCTGACAATAACAATCATGGTACACAAGTTTGTCCTATAGAGGATTTTTATACTGTAATTTGTCAGGCCCACCAGGATACAGAACATGGTGGGTAAGAAAAAACCTAGTTAAAAGTAAGCTTATAATTTTAAAAAAAAAAAATTTTAACTATATATGTTTTATATCATATTTAGATTTATATTTATACATTAATAGATTCGGCAAAGATACTATTTTATATCTCAAACTATTGTAGAAAATGCCATGAAGCAGTGTAATGTATGCATTACATGATGTGCAACAAAATGATTACTGCTATAAAACCTATAATTGCTAAGAAATTTCTTGCTCATGTTCAGGTAATATTTATATTATATAGTACAGTCAGACCCCTCTAAATGCTACCCCTCCTAAATGCAACACCTCTTTAAATGCACATCTTCTTTTGGGCCCAACTAATATTATATCTATAGATTTTTACCTCCCTAAATGCAATACCTCTCTAAATCCACGTGCTAGAGCTGGTCCCAATGATGTGCATTTAGAGAGGTCTGACTGTACATTATTTTTTGATATGTTTATATTATAAATTAATTATAATTTGTAATATAAATTAAAAAAAAATATTAAATAAAGGTTGATACAATAAGTATAATGGCAATACCAGATAATGAATTCAAATATATTATACACATCCATGACTATTTTACAAGATTTTCTGTTGCAGAACCTGCTATTCAAAATCTGCAGAAGAAGCCTCAAGCTTTCTTTTGTGATTTTGTTTAATATATGGTCCACCATTAATTCTATATTCAGATAATGGTGATGAGTTTGTAGGTAAAGTAATAAAAAAACTGTGAAACTTTGGCCATCAGTTAAATTTATACATGGGAGACTATGATATCCCCAATGCCAAGGGTCAGTTAAGAAGGCTAATGATATTCTCATGACAAAATTTGGTTCTTGGATAGAAGAAACCAAGTGAACAGATTGGAGCATTGGACTACCATTTATAATCTATAAGTTTTTTTTTAAAAAAAAAAATATTAAAAAATTATTAAAATAAAAAATTTTAATACTATAGGGGCAATGAATAATCAAGTGTGTAATACGACAAAAAAACACTATATGAGCTTGTATTCAGACAACAATCACAAGCTGATTTACAAATAATTTTTATACTTCAACATCAAAATATTGTTCATGAAAAAGATATTCCATTGGAAAACTGATCTACTCTATTAATAATAATTTATCAAATAATTATTGTATCAATTTTAGATTAATTTGCTAAATTTTTGTTGTATAGCTAATTTATTTATTACAAACTTTATATTTATTTTTAATTTAATTATAGAAAATGATAATAATAGAATAATTGTAATCGAGGATAGTGATAATGATCTTGAATCCAATAATAACAAAATGAATATATTATGAAATCATAGTTTAATTGAAGAATATACTAATACAGTACTACAAAAAGATAAAAAAGAAAAATGCCATGCATCAGATTCTAATTTAAATAATGATAATAATAATAATAACAATTATAATATAAATATCAATAATAATTTAATAATTATTATATTATTATTAATGTTAATAAAGTTTTATTACATATATAGAATTCATTATATTGGTACAATTCTATAGATTTAGAAAATAATAACGCTAATAACTTATTAGATAAAACATTTAAAGACTATAAATTATATGATGATTTATCTCAAACTAATACAATTTTTGAAAATTTGACTCAAGAAAGTATTGATTTGTTATATGAAGAATTTCAACAAGCTAGTTGTTTATATACTTTAATTGAAGATTCAGATTTAATTGAAAATTCAGATGATGAAAGTTTTATGTCAGTTGATAATCAGACCTTTTCAAGCTGTTCAAGTTTTGATAACCATAAACAATTATATGATAAAGCACTACAGCAAGTTAAAAAAAATCAGCAAATTATTCATAGTGTTATAGAAAACTAGCATAAAACTAAATAAACTTTAACTTTAAATCTAGGTAATTTTATACTAATTAATCTTATTATTATATAAGCAATATAAAGCTAAGTATAGTATTGTATAATTCTAAATTAGGCAATCTTGTAAAAATTTGAATTCCAGAAATTGACAAACTTAAATTAGATAGGCATTCATTGCTTGATAAAATTATTCAAAAAAAACCTAAAAGTGATATATATCAGGTTGGTTGTGAGTTTAAAATCTTGGATGCATGGTATTCAGCAAATAAATTAGAGCTATTGGGGACTAATGAATACCCAGCTCTTGATATTATTTCACTTGGCACCTTTGTTTTTTTAAGAAATGCTAGAGCTTAACAAAACTTAACATGCCCAATATGAAAAATACAAGAGAATGATGATAACTAATTTGTTTAAGGTCAAACAAACACATAAGCAAAAAAGAAATCATTTCAAAAAAATAACAATTGTTATTGCAGCAAAACCAACTATAAAAATAAAAGTTGTTCATATCGTAAAAATAATGCACTTTGCATAAGACAATATGGCTGAGTATTGAGAGGTAAATATACAAATTATTAGTTGTATAATTGGTATAAAGCACACATTCATTATTAATTTGCTAGAATAGATGAACATATAAAATCAGATATTGTTATTTTCATGAAATTAGAACTAATATAAGGCATTTATTTATAGATATAATCTTAATTCTAATAGAATATTTTATGTATTCACATTAAAGGTGTTAGTCAAAGGTGGTTATTTGAATATATTAAGTGCAAAATTGCAATAAAAATGCATAGTATTTTAATGCGCTATTAATTAATTAATTTTTATTAATACATATAATTCATTTCTCAATTATTGTTATTTAATATGTTATTTATTGTAAAAAAAATTATTATATATTTGTATCAGTATTACTATACTGATTATTATTTGACATGTATTAAATTGCAATCTTTAAATTAATGTGTGTCATTTTGAAATCAATATAAATTGCAAAGTGGCATATAACATTCTCAACAAATATAATAAAATTTTGGTTATTTGGAATCTTAACTGAAATTCAAACCATTATAATATGTACAAAATAGCTTTTATTATAAGATCATGTCAAAATCAAAACTGGCCAAAAAATCATTTAGCCAATTTTTATCAGATGTTTCAGGAATTATAAAAATAGCTGTAAAAAATTTTTAAATATTTTAAATAAAAGTTTAGGTGGGCAGGCCATTTTTTTTTACTTTATGTTATGAAAACCAAAAGTTAACTTTATATAGCCTAATATATCAATAATTTAATAAAAATTTTTAAAATTTTAATATTAGGCCATAAAAATTAAATAATTAGTTTTCATAACCTGGCTGCATCAAAATTTAAAACTTTTAAAAAAAAATTTTATATGTTTTAATAACTGGTAGGTTTTAAAAAATTTTCTATAATTTCTCTGGTTATACTCTTTCTACAACATGGCAACCCTGTTTAACATATCCTTCTACCAACCATCTCTACACCTCCATATCTGTACTAGCCTATGGATGACACTATTTGGATTACCCAATCTAAAGAAGAATTAGACAAAATTATTAATACAGCAACTTCTTTTTATAACATGGCTAACATCTAAATTAATCTCACTAAATCAACTTTTATCTCCAAACAACCTTCTGCTTCCATCTCTTTCCTTCACTTCAATCTAGCATCTATCCCAATTCACCAACCCTTCAAGTTTCTTGGCTGCTGGTTTACTCTTAATAACAAACATACTC